AAAAAAAAAATAAAAAAAAAACATACAGACGAATTGAGTACCTCCTTCTTTTGGGAAGTCGGTCAATAAAGGCCTGTCCCACCAAATTGTAAATTTTCTGTTAACAATCTAACGTGTAAACTATGTGATGGAAATATCGAATTTCGTTCCCTTATCTGACATTGTTAAGCTATCTGAGCCTCTACCTACCTCTACTCTATGGTGGGACAGGCCCTTAGGGACTAATAAAAATGCGCCTTAATGTAATGATAGCTTATAAATACTTTAGTTTTTAAGTAACAAATTTAGTTTAGTTAGTAGTGAATGTGAAACGCTAGTGAAAACCCATTGAGGTTTATTTAGCGTTACTTTAGATTAAGCTAGATTTAATTGTTTTTGTATTGTTAAAAGAAAAAAAAACTAATGTAGACGCCAGCAATAACACTAATGGATAATGCAATGCCAAGACTGCACAGAAGACAGGTGTGAAGTAGATGTAATTCCGCGTTTTACCTAATGAGAATGCACGAAGGTCTAATTTTACTTCATTTCACTTCACACCATTTCATTATCAGGGAACGCTGGGAAAGTTTAAGCGTCCGCTAGTTTTTATATATATCTATATATTTTATATTACAATTATGATAAAACATCTCAATAGAATAGCGCAACTACCGCAATACGTATAATTTGACGTTTTTCTGTTTTATTTAATCATCGATGTTCGCTATAATTCCGTATATCAACTTACTGGTTTCTTCTCTTTAAGTGGACCTCTGCTTTGTCACGATAACTTTGCACCAACTTCATATCAACTTTTTCTTTATTCGTTGAAAACAGCGGTTCAGAATTTGCTAACTCCTGTTAATAAAAAAATAATTTATCTAAAACACGCCGTATCCAATTTGCCAAGAATATCTAACTCCAATTAAGGAGAGTCGGCACAGTATGTGTTGCTATTCCATACATTTCTATCAACCGTCACATCTGAATTCACTCCCTACTTAATCTTTCACACAATCGATCCACACTTTCCTCTCTCTTCATCTATCCAGGTAGCCATCCCCATTCAATCTTAACACTTCCTTGTCCTCATCCTCTCGTCGCAAAATATTTCCATACCACGATAACCGTTTGCTTCTTAATTTTTCGACCACAAGCGCTACTTCAACTTACAACAAAAAACTTCCTCTTATATACACATTCTTAACTTTATCTCTTGTTGTCACACCACACATCCATTTTAATAAAAAATCCTTTAATAAAAAAAAGTTCAGAAAAAAATACAAAAATATAGAACATTTAAAAACGATTTTCTCTACTTACTATGATTCTTAAATTATATGTTTTTTTATTATTTAAAAGACAAACTCACTTGTTTACGTTCATTGCGTTGTTTCTCTCGGTGTTCTATTCCTTTAGCCATGATAAAATCTTTTACTCCGTTTTCCCTTTGCACTATATCTTCTTGTCCAGTGAATATTAAAAGAGCCTACAATATTAAAGATAATTTAGTTGTTGACGCTGATAATATTCAAAAATGTAAATGCGTAGAATAACATACCTCTACAGTGTTGTTGAAATTGTTATTATGACTGCTTAACGCATCGGCTAAAACTTTGGGATTTACATTTGCAAAGCAGAACTTTAGTTTTTCCAATGTTAATTTAGCTGCCATTGTCATAGTTTCACCCTGAAGCCATTTCGAGTTATTATTTCTTTGCAACGATACTGCTAATTCATTATCCGTTACTTCTTCAACATCAGACATTTTCGACTCCTCTGCCGCGTATAATTCAAATTCCTGGCTCTCTAACTCCCTGGAATAAATATAAACAATTTTCACTGATACCAGTATCACTAATTACAACAAAATTTTATGTACTGAATCAAATAATTAGACTCCTAAATAAAAGTATCTAGCATAATACTAACCTAGCTATTTCTTCATCTTGTTGCATCATTAACTCTGTTTCCTGATGTTTAGCCTGTGATTGATTAATATAGGATTCCATCCAAAGAGCATTTATTTCATTTAACAAAGACTGTGGAATGTTAATTATAGGTGTAATGAATTGAGGATAAACCATTTCATCTCTGCCAAATTCCTCATCTAATTTCGCGATAAGATCCCAACTCAAATTAATATTTACGTATTTTTCAGGTTTAGGTGAATTGTTTTCGTTGTCGTCACTATTATTTTCACTTCCGTAACCAGTATTATTACAATTTTTTTGAATCCCCACGAGTCCATTGGAAGTGCTTGGTAATTGTTCATCAGGACCTTGAATACTGCGAGAAACTTCTGTATTGTCTATGTTAACATTCTCTTCATTACTGTTTTCATTAGCTGTAACTTTCGACTGAATTCCTTGGCGCTGATTTCTTAACTTTAAGCACTGTTGTGAATAATGATTATCAGATATAACAATACTTTTCTCTATTTGTCGCTTTAAATGCATATGATGCTCAGATGTATTAGCTTTTTTACTTTTTCTAGGTGTTAAAATGTTTTCTAATAATTGATCTCGTTTCATGTTTGTGGTCGGTTGTAAAATATCATAGGGACTTATATTATTTATTGTTTCGTTTGAGATTTGATCAGCTGTCGCGCTTGTGCTACCTTTGGAATCAATGAATGAAGTTTTATTTGCATCGGAATCAGCTTGTCTTAAAGTTTTATCGTCAGTACAAAAGCCTTGTTCATCGCTCTCGGGTGACTCTTCTTCACTTTTTACCCTTGAAAATTCATTGTTAGCCACGCCTTCGACCAAAATAGATGTGGCCCAATCAATATTACCATAGCAAATCTCGAACACATTCCTCACTTCGGATTGCGGAATACATAAAAACCTATTCCTTAATTCTACAAATGCCCTTTCGTAATCATAGTCCATATACTCTAGACTTTGTTCATTAATATAGCAGCTTTTATCAAACATTCTCTGAACAGGAATTTTCTCTTTCCCAAGAGGCATGTGATTACGATTTATATCTCTCGGTTCCGTGCTTAAAAGTTTTCGAGCATTGTTTTCATTATAAAAATTTGTATCATCGGGATCTATGCTAGTACCTCTACTAACTTTTTCAACTACAATTGGAGGTGTTTTTTCATCTAATTTACAGGTACTATCCCATGGTTTATTAAACATGTCAATTTTTGTCCAATCGTGACTGAAATTATCTATATCTGATTTTATGTCTTCTAAACTTCTCATCGATTTGTTCAATTTTTTTCGCGGCGGCTTTGAATTTCCTGAAATCCCATTATCACAAGATTCATAATTTTCTTTACATTTTATTTTAATTTCTGCCTGATCGTCCTCCCACTTTTCATTAGCGTCCCATGCTTCATGAATCTGTTCAAGTTCTTCTATTTGCATATTTGATTCAACATTATGATCTACAGTATTGCCCATCTGATATTGTTCATTTTTTGCATCTGTCATAATTTGTTTATGAGGATTTGACAAGCCAGACAAATAGACTTCTTTATTTTGAACAGTCATATTTTCATGGGTAGTATCACAATCATCTTCTGAACGTTGAACGGTGGGGACCGCATTACCATCAGCATTAGAATTGTTTTCTATGGGGACCGATTGTATTGGTATGACAGGAAAATTCCTTAAAACAGGTGGCATCATGTGATCTGGATAAGACAATTTATAGTAATTCATCATTCTTTCTGCAGTAATGTCATCCTGAAAGTTGCCAAGCATTCTTTTAATTGTAAGCAATGGTACATTATGAACATTTTTGCGGGATAGTTGATTTGCTTTCTTCGCCCAAGAGGTATTTGGCTCTACAATTTCTATCAAATAGCCATTGTTTACTCCATCTCTTAAGTAGGGCTCCATTTCCCACGGTTCAACATTTGTATTATCAATTATAACAGGACTCACGCCTCGCTTCATTGCGATTCTAGCTCTAGCATTATTCCAAATATGAGCATCTTGAAGCTTCATTTTGTCATATCGATAAAAACCTTTTACCATAAAGTAATTATCAGCTGAAAAAATATGTGTCGCGAAATCAAGTTTGCTGCCTCCAATAGTTGCTTCTAGAATTCTATTAGCCAAATATGTTTTTCCGCTTCCCGGCACCCCTCTCATAATTATTAGTATTCGGCTACCTTTATTATGATGCATTAGTATTTGTTTAATTTGACTTGTCCAGAAGTTCGAATCTGGTACAGGAAAAGAATTTGTCTGCTTATTGCGATATCTACCAGGCCTTTTGGCACTTTGTGCCATTCCAGAGTAACTGGAATTAGCTTGTGGCATATTTCCTGCTGAACTTGACTCATAAGGTTCAGTATGTTGTTGAATGTTTTGATTGAACCCTAATTGGTTATCATTTTGAGGTTCCCTTACATTTTGCACACTATTACTTTCACCGACGTGAATATGATCAAATGATTCTGTTCTTGTGTGTTGATCTTCCCTATTATTTTCGACATTTAATGGTGATGGTTGTTGTTCATTTTCATGTGTCATATTCATGATAGCATTTGCAGATTGATCCACTGTAAAGAAATATGTATAATTTTTTTAAATTATTATTTTCTTTAATTTGCATATTGGCTTTACATGTTATGTTGTTCATGGGTTCTGATGACCTCTTTTCATGAAGAGACCTACTGTTTATCCCTATTCATTTTATTTACAAATTTTGTTACCTGATGCCACATATTATGTATTACCTTTTACAGGTATAAACTCTTTCAAAAACACTTTATAATGCCATGCAGTTCTAAATGTCAAAATGAACCTAAAGTACAAATATAACTCTACATTGTCACCACATCAACTTAATAACTTATTGTTCACCATTTATTATAGTTTAAAAAGTGTATTATTGCTTTATAATTGATTTAAGTCACTTAACATTTCAAAGGTTAGTTAAATAATAATAACAATAACAAATAATCTATACTTATACTTATATTATAAAAAGAACAGATTTTTATTTTTGTATGTATTGCAATAACTATAAAACTACTGGGCCAAATTTTATCACTGAGTAACATAGGCAAAATTTTTTTTCTATTTTATAATTTCATGTGGACGAGGTCGCGACCGACAGCTAGTAATCAATAAAATAGGAAATTTTGCACATATTCAATAATAGTAAATTTTTTACTTATCATTACCTACTTTCGCATTAATCTTATCAAACAGTTACATGGCTGAAACATTTACATGAAAACATGCTGAAATCCATAGGGTACCAACTAAGCTCTAGGCTTGTGCTAGGATATGGTTCATGACAATAGTCGAATGACAGGATTCAAACCCTCTACTGCAAGATCGGTAGTCAGTACCCCAAATCATAAGGCTATTGGCGCTTCAAACAATTTCCACATAGGTCATTGTGCAAGCATAAATATTAAATTTACCATTATTTGACACATATTTAGCATTCACAGATGAAATCTTTTCTAATATATATTTGTAGATTTAACAGGGTATACAGGAATGCTGAAGGAAGGAACTGTGCAGCACACAGCTTAATTACAGTCACCAAAACAATGGTGCCAATCCGATTACGACATAGTAATTGTTAGAAATCTTGGCAGCTCGGAACATTGTATGAGTGGCTGCGTAAACACAATTTAAGGTGAATCAGGCAGATACGGATGCGGGGGGTAAAATAACTGCACAGCGAACTGATGACATAGAGCCAAGATATATGAACAGATATATGCCTATTTACCTTACAAAGATCATAATTGATTGCAAACAATAACACACAATGCATGACTTTGATGATGCTACAGTCAGTACCTAGGACTACATTATCTTGTTTTCACATTTATCTTATCCAAGTTCAGAACTGCCTGATTGATTGTCTGTACCCTTGAACATTTAGCTATTGGCTATTTGAATTTGGCATTGTTATGCCTGTCCACATAAACTAAACACCCATTTATAGACTTTATGCTGCAGTGAAAATTTTCTTTGTCCTACAAATCCTATAGGTATACACATACTGGATATTGCTTATCGACGCAGTACAAACAGCGCAACAGAATCGATCAATAACCACTCTCCCACCCCAAAAATGGCGCGTAGTTAATCTTTTTATGCACACAAACATAAGGTACATACAACAAAATGTTGCATAATTTCGCAAAACAGAGACTTATGTACTTACCATCTCCGTAGCAACTTTCAACTATTGCACATATTACATCTCTAGTCAGCACTTGACCGAAAGTCTGATATAATGTCTCAATAACGTTGTGGTATATGCCTTCCTCTTCGCTGAGTGAAGATTCCATATTTAATATGTATTAAAATAAAAAATAAAAACTAAAACACGCTCAATGAAAGGTCACATTTGTTTGGTATAAACTTAAATTTTACGTATAGTTCGGGGAGAACAACATACACAATATCTCTGGGATAACGAAAAGGAAATGGTGGTATTTGATTTTGACATTGATAAGTAGTGACAATGACAAATCGATAAAACTCAATGGGTTCCGTTCATAAATTAAGCATAATGTGAAAAAGAATTCACATTTTTATTAAAACTAACCCTTTCAAAAATCTTTGCGAATATTCGTAAGACGCAAATAATTTTATAAATAGAGTAATTAATGAAAGAGAGATTGATTGTATTTCATGAAATAAAGTATTTAAACGTAGTGCAAGAGAGTTTTTTTTTTAAGTGGGAGATATATTTATCGCTAAGAAGAAATGGAGGGTCCAGTAAATACATTTGAAAATGTGAATCAACTTGTGTCTGTTGCAATCAGAATTTGTTACTATATGATAATTCAAGAAGTTTCCTAACTCAAGGCGACGTATATTTTTTTAAGATTTAAAATAATTTTAATACGCACAGTGTAAACTACTGGGCATACCACATAGTTTGTACTGTGCGTTGATTGTAAACAACAAATAATCATTAAGATTTCTATTATTCTGTAGATGAGCGCTAAGTAAGACAATTACGATTATATTAAAACTATTCCTTCCCTAACTGTCTCAAGAGAGTGCATTGTTAAAGGTTTCTACAAAGATTCTTTAACTATAGAGTCTTCTAATCGATAAACGAAGTCTGGGGCATTTCTTAGTTACATTGTAAGGTACAAGGACTTCCTTCACAATTTGAGTTTTCGTTATTACAGTGAAAGAATTTCCCTTTAATGTGGCCATATTACCTTACTGGTAACCCTAAATGCTCAGAGACACCATCCTGTCAATGTCAAAAATCGGCCACAATCGACAATATCCTTGCGGCACTATATTGCTGTAATTTCTGTAACTGTGTAATGCTAATATGTAAAATGTTTGTGGGATCTGTTTACAGTTAGAACAGTTAGTTAGTTAAATAACATTACATTATAAAAAAGTATTATTTGCTCAAATTTAGCTCAACAGCCTTAATCGATTTCATAGAATATTTAAGCGGTAAACAAAAATAAAACCTGTTATATATTTAACATTATAGTATTTAACTCTATACTCCGTAAAAATGGCCGATAATTTCCAAAACAACAAAACTATGGCGCCTGTAATGATGGACTACGATTTCAAAGTCAAAACTCAGAACGAGCGTTCTAAAGTCGAAGACCTCTTTGACTTTGAGGGTTGTAAAGTAGGAAGAGGTACATATGGACACGTATATAAAGCTCGACGGAAAGATGGATCTGACACTAAAGACTATGCATTGAAGCAAATAGAAGGGACAGGACTTTCCATGTCAGCTTGTAGAGAAATAGCTGTGAGTACATTTTTAAACCATTCATCGTCATCATCATCACCAGCTCATTATACGTCCCTACTGAGGGGCTTAGTGCCTACCCTAGGTAAGGGGTGACTAGGCCTTAGACAACAATGCTAGCCTAGTGTGGCTTAGTCGCCTTCACACATATATTTGAATTTTTTCGCCAATGCGAATGCAGGCGAATGTATCAGACCATGATATTTATCCTAAACTGTTACAATTATTGGGTAAAGTATATATATATATATATGAAATTCAGAAAAGCGAACAAATTGAATCACATAGTGGGATTCAAACCAAGACCTGTAGATTACAAGTCAAGTGCTTAAACCCCTGAGCCACTGGTGCTCTCGTTAAACTACATACTTAATACAGAATTAGTTTATTAATATTAAAATATTTCTTGTTGTCCTTATACCACTCATAAAGGGTGATTCCTGGTTTTTGATATGCAGATAATTAATCTTTGCCTAATTTACAGTTGCTGAGGGAATTGAAACACTCTAATGTTATTATCCTAATTAGAGTATTCCTTTCACATACGGATCGCAAAGTATGGCTATTGTTTGATTATGCTGAACATGATTTATGGCACATTATAAAGTTCCATAGAGCTGCCAAAGCAAATAAGAAATCTGTGATGGTTCCAAAGGGTATGGTGAAAAGTTTATTATACCAAATATTGGATGGAATTCATTATTTACATTCAAATTGGGTACTACACAGGGATTTGGTAAGATAACAGCTTGGAATTTAATGAAATAAGCTAATTTAATATATTTATATTTCAACCTATACTATTGTCATCATAATAAGTACATTTAAGGACAAAAAGTACATAACAACTAACAGACTTAACCTGTGGCAAATCATACACTAAGCTCATAATTCATTGTACATGAGTTTTTTCAGAAACCAGCTAATATTCTTGTTATGGGTGAAGGACCTGAAAGAGGAAGAGTGAAAATAGCAGACATGGGTTTTGCAAGACTATTTAATGCACCTTTAAAACCCTTAGCAGATTTAGATCCAGTTGTAGTTACATTCTGGTATAGAGCACCAGAATTGTTGTTAGGTGCTAGGCACTACACAAAGGCTATTGGTAAGAATATTGACTTATATAGTAGGCCAGAGATGGCCAAGCTTTTATCAATGTGCCATTTTCCTAAAGAAATGTTGAAAAGTCACAGAAGTGCCACCAAATGTTTTAAACTATATCATTATTGGGAACACTCTATAACATATCATAACTCTTTGTAGTCCATAGTGTATTTTAAGGTCAGCATGTGCCCAAAATGTTGAATTTTTCTACCACAATGTCAGTTTGTCATTCCTATACTATACAATAATATGAGATACCTGGCAATGAAATTATTGATGTAACTAAAAGTGAATTTTGATTCTAAAATAAGCAGGTATTAAGGAACTAATACTATCTATAGCAGACTTAGTCTATTGAAACAAAACTAGAAAACTGTTGATATAATTTTGCTGATGTCAACCGTGACGAACTGACAGTAACAATACCCAATATAAAGGTCCTTTCCATTATCCATCTATATTAATATTATAAAGAGTAAAGATTTGTATTTTTGTTTGCATTGAATTAACTCAAAAACAGTTAGGCCAATTTTAAAAATGCTTTCAATGTTAGAAAGGTAATTTTATTGTGAGTAACATAGGATATATTTCTTACTCAGACGCCGACGAAGTCGTAAGCAACAGCACTTTTCTTATATTATTAGCCCACCAGTATACATAGATCTGCCCTTCTTTATACATGTAAAATTAAATGTATATTTCAGATATATGGGCAATAGGATGTATATTCGCAGAGCTTCTAACATCAGAACCTATTTTCCATTGTCGTCAAGAAGATATCAAGACAAGCAACCCATATCATCATGATCAACTAGACAGGATATTCAATGTGATGGGCTTCCCACAGGAAAAAGACTGGGAGGATATCAGGAAAATGCCGGAACATGCAACATTAGTAAAAGATTTTAAAAGATCAAAGTAAGTTTTTTTTAATTCATTTCAGTGGTACATATTACTTAAAAATATTATATTTTTGCTTATGTTTCAAGATATAGAGTAAACTTTAGAATTCAGCATAAAATTGTCCGGAAAAGGAACTAGACTTGGCAGGGTAGGGAATACAAATTGATAAACTCTTTCTGTGTGTTGTCTGCCCTCTTAATGTAGCCCCTTTGCTTTTTAAGCCGAAACTAGTGTCTAAAAATTTATATATTATTTTTTCCTTTCATTTGCAGTTACCAGAATTGTTCATTAAGTAAATATATGGACAGACATAAAATCAAACCGGACAGTAAAGCATTCAGTTTATTACAAAGATTACTCTTAATGGATCCTAACAGAAGGATCACATCGGAACAGGCGATGCAAGATCCTTACTTCACTGAAGACCCATTGCCTACACAGGTAATTAAAAAAAATAGTAGTTTAAATCCTTGTTTTTTCCTGTTGGTCAAAATTAAAAGATGTTACAAATTATCTAATATTTCCATTCATATTGATTTTCCGTTTATCTCACTAAATTTACCTAACTAGTTTGGTAACAAGATTTTTTCCGTTTTCGTAATCAGTCAAGTATTTTTGCTAGGGTGGGTACATTTTGCTAGCGTCATGTCCTCATCCCATGTTAAAACGATCAGCAATCGATTTTAAGACCCAATAGATAGCGAAATTTAATATCTATCTAATTGACATTTTACGTTTTGTTGCGATTATTGGTATAGATATACAAAAATAATGAGACTGTATGTGATAGGATGTGTTCGCGGGCTGCCCCATTCCATACCCCAAAAGGGAGTTCCTGACGGACGATGACCAGGAGGACAAGGGTGACTCCAAGGCGCGGCAGAACCAGCAGAATCCTAACGTAACTTTACACTGCATTTTGCAGACATTTAATAACTATATAGACTAGACATAGCAAACAATATTTTTCACCGTTAGCTACTTTGAAAGGTACAAAGTTGTCAAGTTTAGTATGCCACATTATGTCCTTGTATTGACATGTTATAAAACATTTTACAAAATTATAATAATCTCCATCTTTTGTTATAAAATAAACTTAACAGTAGCAAAATAAAATATGAACATTTTTTTATAACACCTGTTGGCAATACATTTAAATACAAATAATTGCATTGACATGTTGTTTTGAGGATTTGTTACTCTACTATGTCAACTATGTCTCCTCTATTTTTTTTTTGAATCTCTTTAGTATTTTGTAATACCAGAGCAAATACTCAATCCTGGCTTGTTTTATCTATAGACTATTGTTTTTCAGACACAACAGAATCAAGTGCAAGCAAACAGCCACGATCATGGAGCAAACAATGCTAAGAGAATGAGAATGCCGGGTAAGTCTTGATTGTATGTACACTCAGCTGCATAATCTGTATACATTTACAAAATTTTACAAACCTTGTATCGTTCTTCGTAATAAGTAAATTTTTCTTTAAGTGGAATATTGTGAACGGAGGTGACTGTACCTTTGTATTTTTAAACGAACAAAAATACAGACTTAGGCCGCTTTAATCGATTGCTTCACATTATGACCAACTAGGTTACACTCGCGACTCCATCCGTGTGGAATTAAAAAAACAAAAGTGTGCAGCCTATGTGTTCTTCCAGACTATCCCCTATGTCTATACCAAATTTCATCGAAATCCGTTCAGCCGTTTAGGCTACAAACTAACAAGCATCCATCCATCTAAACTTTCGCAGTTATAATATTAAGTAACATTATTTTTACACATATATGACAATGTATTTTTTTCTTAATCAGTCTGTAATATCTTTTCAGGACCAAATCAAGGTCAAACAAATCAAGGCAATGGCCAACAAGAGTTCCACCAACAACAACAGATGATGTTCGGAGCACAACAACAAGGCGCCAACTCACAACAGCAGCCCAACTTCCAACAAAGGTTCTAGATGAGAAGTCTGATTGATTTAGAATAAAACAGCCAATACAACTTTAATGCCTGGTTTACACTTGGCCAGTATAGTGAGAGACACTGGCACCAGTTAGTGTCTACATTATGACAGTTGTATGTCAGTCCATTTATTAAACGCTACTCTCCAACTGTATTGGCCAAGTGTGTACAGGCATAAAGCCAATGTTGGACGAACGAAGCGTATCATTGGCCAATGTTGTAACGTAATATTAAAATGTCATAGTAAGTAAAGGTCTTAATCAGACAGTTTTCATGCCAGAGTTTTCTGTTTGACATCTTTTTAAACTTTGTTGTGAGTAAGGTAGTAAGATATTACACCTTATTTGAAGCTAAACTTGTTACAATGTCGATTTATCCATATAGATGTAAATAACATAATTTAGTCATTTCTAAACATTGTATAATTGTATTGGTAAGGACATGTATTTTAAATGATATTAAATGGCGATCTCTATAGGTAATAAAATGTAGTATTTTTATAAAGTTTTTTTTTCGCGTCTAGTCAAGTTTCACCAAGATATACCCAACAGTACTTAGATTAACATGAAATCTACGGTTCCTTTACATCTTAATATGCGGTTTCTTGGCCAGTACAGTCGGATAGTTGCGCAGGCCAGCAATAGATTTTAGGACTCGCTGGCGCCAGTTACTGTTCATACTGTGTCAATTAATTTTCAGTCCAGTAATTAAAGGCAACTGAACAACTGTACTGGGCAAGTGTGACCCACGCCTAATGTTAATGTCTTATGAAATGCTTCTATCACTTGTTAATTCAAGCAGCATCACACGCTCTTTATTGAAAAATAAAATAATATAATATAAGCTTGATAATCTTACTTCTTACTAATATTATAAATGCGAAAGTTTAGATGAATGGAGGGATTGAGGGATGTTTGTTAGAGTTTGTAGCCAAACGGCTAAATTAATTTTGATGAAATTTGGCATAGATGTAGTGGATAGTCTGGAAGAACACATAGGCTACACTTCATTTTCTTTAATTCACGCAGACGAACTCGGGGTGTAAACATTTATCTTTATTAAAAAAAATGCTTGGATCGTGGACATCACTTATAAGACAATATGAAACTGGATAGAAAGTTTTAAAACCAAGCAAAACTCTTCTTAGGTTTTAACTTTAGTTCTAGCAAATTAAACAAATGTGATTTATAGAATTTTTATTTATATTTACATTTATCACTCTACAGTTTATTACGACACACTAATTGTAAAATAATTGTAATAGCTTTAAAAATACGAATAAAAGTAACTTAGTTTACTAATTGTTATGGACGGAATTACTTCTATTAAAATTAGTACACAAACTCTAAAAAAATTTAATAATGAATGCATAGACATTTTCAATAATGTTACTTAAATAAGCTTCGAAAATATTTCTTCAAAGAAAAACTCGCGATTCTATGGATATAATTTACAACAATGGAATGCAATACAAATACAAACATTCATTACTAAAATATGGAAAAAATGAAAAAAAGTGAATAGTGTTTATCAAACTATTAATCGGAAAAGACAATGATTGTTTTACTAAAATTTTTACATTAAATATGTCAACATACAAATACATAGGCATGTTCAATAATAAAAAATGTTATATGATGAAATTAAAGGGTAAATTATAATTTTTATACCTAGCTATAATGTTGGGTAATTCACTAACATTTGGAAGTATTATTTTCAATAAAAACGGTCAGTTAGCAGTAAATTTCTTCAGTCTGCTATTTCTCTCTTTATTGTTAATACAATATGCAAATTTGATTAAATCCAAAAATAAAATAAACATTACAAGAAAACCTATTGTAGTTAATCTGTTACAGTTCAAATAACGGACTTAATCATGCCAAGTTCAAAAGTAAAATGTGACGGAGATTATTTTGTATGTACAGTCGCCTTCTTTCGTGGTGTACCAGTTTCATAAAAATATCTTCCTCTTTTCAAACGTAAATTCCACCCCTTATGAAAAACTAATAAAGCTATTCATGTTTCAATGATAATGAGTACGCTTTCTTTCATATTCAGTAAATTAATTTTTGTACAATCACATTCAAAAGTGGTACATATATTTCAGAGTTTTCGTTGATGACGACTGTACATTTATCTATTTTGATATTGATCTTGCTTTTGATTATTTTTATAAACTAAAATATAAAACTATTGCAACAGAAACCGCAGGAAAATGTAAGTTGTGCAAATAATTGTTGAATTTCATGTAATACGTGAGTTAATCATGATTTTCAATTCATGAAACGTGATAATATCAATAATAATATTAACTTAGTTATAAAACAAACGCACACTCTTTGTAATTATGCATACGTGATGATACAAGAACATCTTCATACTAAAATACAAAAAATAGCACAACGCATAAAAAAAATTACACAATAACTACTTTTTTAAATTTCATATTATGTACACGATGCAATAAACTGGTTGTTACAAACAAAAGTACTAAAACTTTTTGCGCTCAACAAAAAAGTATCAAAGTATGAAGTTTGTAACGTATTTTTGGTTCAGTAAACAGGCGGCTTTATATTTACATAGAACAGAACTGAAAAATGTAAGGCAGTGTTATAATATCTTCTTATGATAAACAAGAAGGCACTAATTTGGCAACTTACAGTTTTCCTAATGTACCATCAGCAAAAAACTATATCAGTTTTTCTTGATAATCGATAGGATATTTTATTCAAGCACTTCTCTCATTGGGTATTATTTGAACAACAGTTTCTTGGTTGTTACTGAGTACGGTGTATTGCGATTTGTTGAGTTCGTCCCTTCTTATCTTGCTTTTGTCGACGGTACGAATGCGCGTTCTTAACTTGCTGCAGCGACCGTCCATGATCTTCTCGTAAGGCTCTGAAAATGGATAGCAAACTATATCAATCATTTATTATAATAGAATTGAAATCTTTTTTAAAGTCAGTACACTTTTATTCTTTACAATACAACAAAATCTCAGAACTGTATCTTGTTTTAGTAAGAATTACGTAATAATGCGGTGACAGCATTATTGTACAAACAATAGGATTCCGGATTCTTGTCTATACAAAAGAAACACTTGACGCTTTATGTATGGAACAGTTATTTTACAATGAACAATAAGTTATTTAGGATTACGCTTCATGATATTTAAGATTTACCGTGATTATCATGCTACAATTAACGTAACGTCATATCCGATATCAAATACTTACGATTTTTTCTGAAGGAATTATGACAAGCCAGATGACAAATCGAAGGAAAGCCTTTGAGCTTATCTGGGTTTATCGGGACCATATTCAGTGGGGCTCCGCAAATCGGTTCTTTCTTTCCCTTGCATGAGTTAACACAAACGCTGTAATTGTGTCCTTTCCGGCTCTGCGGTCTACGTGAGGATGGTCTCCTTGTCGTTGTCGACGGATTGATCTTGATGTTTGTGACAGAACCTCTTGGTGCGGACACACGTATTGTCAAAGCTGGAGTTTTATTAAGGCGTTGCGTCGATGGGACTGCACTAGATGCATTCATCGTTGGAATAACGCTCGCTAAAGTTGCATTAGGGTTTCCAGTAGAAGTCAAGCTAGGGCCGACTGTAGAACTCGAAAAGATTGAAGGGCTATAGTATGCTGGACCTAGTAAAGTACTTGGGTTTTGCCATGGCCCACCGAATAATATAGGTGATGAAGTGACGAAGATTTGTTCTTCTCGTTTTATCGGTCTAATAGTTGATGAGCTCATTTGTATCGCAGATATTATATCCGGTAGCGGTCTTTCCGTTGTGGAATACCTTGTTGTTGTTGATTGAGTTGATCTCGGCGGTGTTGTGGTTTCCTGAGTTGTTCTTGATGTTATAGGTTCTCGGGTGCTTTGTTGAGTTGATTCCGGAGTAGTACTTGGTCTAGATTGAGATGCGGATTCGGGATATTGTTGAATGGATAGTGGAGCTTGCTGATATATAAGAAAATAATTAGGTTGCCCGGTTGATTGTTGTTGTTGGGGCGAAGCTTGGAATTGAGGAAAGGATTGTAATTGAGGTATAGGGCGCTCTGGAAGACTTTGCGCAGATATAACTTGAATCGGACGAGGTTGAGGCTGGTATATTACTCTCTGTTCTCTTTCGTCTTGAGCTCTAGGTAATAATGAAGTGTCTCTGTCTATGGGCAAAACTCTCCTAGTTGTATCTTCTGTAGTAAAAGATTCTGCAACTGAGGTTTGTCTTAACGAAGTCGACGAGGTTGTTGAAAGCCCTTTTTCGGGTTCGGAAGTTGTAGGTGACGATGCAACTACGATAGGTTTAGATGATAATGTTTCCGGTGTAGTAAATATTTCGGTGATTGGTTTTGGTTGGTAACTGGATTCGTTTATGAGATTTGCCTCGTACCACTTTGGCAATGAATTCGATATTTCTGCTCGACATAGTTGTAACACTGCAAGAAATAAATAGAAATGATCATACATAATATTTATTTATTAAAGGGACAATAATAGTATAGTAATATTAATGCTTTTTAAGGAAATTAATGAATGTCAGTTTTACATAAGCGTCTTTGAATAGCCTATTTATTATATTTGTGAATTAAAATGTTACATAAAGCGGTGTAAAGCTTTCTGCAATTTGTTAAGAAAAAATAGAAAAACACATTTGAAATTAATTGATTCTTAAACGTTGGATATATATATTTTTAGTCTTATTTAAGCGAACTCCGTCACATGTTGCGGCGGAAAGAAACCCGTTTTCAAGGTCCGCTTTTTGCAATCGGTCTCCCTTAAGGTCAAGTCCCTTCGTCAATACAGAGGAAATATTTTCGTTTCATTGATCAAAATCGCGCTAAAAATAAAACAGATATTGTCAACAGTACATTAATATGAAAAGAAGGTAATTTTCGGGATACTTTACGTGGTTTAGTTTGGTCACAGCTCGTAGTAATCGTACTTTTAAAAAGGAAGACAGAGCCACCTGCAGTATCTATTATTACATAAATGGCCTTTGCGGAAATTCCGCGACTTCAGCTAGATTATATAGCGTTTTTTGCGTTATAGTACACGGTATTACTCCGATTTTTCTGATATGTAATGTGCTGTTAGTTGCTCGTAAAAATATTACGTGCCAATATGGTATGAAGCATATTAAAAACACAATAATGTTACTTAACCTATTGAAATATTCAAGTTCTGTTTGGAAACAATTTTACCATAAGTCACCTGTTGACCTAATTGCGGACGATGTGAATACCGTGTCATTGTTTACCATGATAAGAGTACTTAATTTTTTCTAAGACATCATGTAGGTCGGATGTAATTTAACCTACTAATTCTCTATTTTACATGTAAGTTATAGTATCAAGGTGGTACCAATCTATAAACCCCAGTGAATACAATGTCTACGATAATGTACACAGTTCCCATATTTAGTATAGCAGTGAATGACATTTCACATTCCATTGGCAACTGTGACTTGCATAGGACAGCAGTTGCATTTAGAATTTTATAAATTTCGAACTATCTCTACATGCCTTAGAGACGCGATGGCTTAAGCAGTTTGTAGAAAAACAGAAATAATCAGCTTAGAACCGCTTTGGATACTTTTTCACACAATTATTTGTTTAGAACTTTATGTGTAAACTAGCTTTCGCTCGCGACTCCGCCCGCGCGGAATTAAAAAAAAACAAATGCAAGTAGCCTATGTGTTCTTGCAGACTATCCTCTACATCTATGCCAAATTTCGTCAAAATCCGTTCGGCTGTTTAGGCTACAAACTCTAATAAACATCTATCCATCCGTCTAAACTTTCGCATTTATAATAATAGTATGACGTATGATTAGTAAAATTGTTTGAAAGAAAAAAATAAGTTTAACAAATGAAGATATGTTCAAATTAAGTTTGAAAAGTAAACGGTATTTATAGTAATTGTTAGACAATATACAACCGCTATTTTCTAAACCAACACACCAACGTATGTTTTTATTTTTTATGTGTAAGTAAACCGTAGTATAAAGAATGAATGCAAGGAAATGATGTAACTATTATTTCGCAATAGAATTATTTGACCAACAGCCGTTCGTTGAACCGATTACGATATTTACAAATAAGCTTCAATGGGAAGTAGTTTTCCGATAAAAGTTGTTACTAACACTGTAGTAGTATGATGATAGTTTCAAGATTACTTCCTTGCATATTTTTTTTTAGGATTAACCGATGAAGATTTCGTTTCGACCGTACGTGATTGGGACAACTGGAAGCCGTTAGATAATTTAAATTTTAAAGGAACGAATTAGGTTGGTTTGTTTAAAAATATGCGAGAGCTTATTTATTTAAATTAGAAACACATTCCGTAACTGTAATCAACATTATATCTTACAAACATGCAACATGCATTTGGAATACAAAACGATTCGTGCAGTGATCAATGCAACTATACGAAATATATAGGCCGTATACCATGCTCCATTAAACCTTAACACACCGGTTATGTTTACATCGTAACAATATGAAAGTGTACTCACGCGCTATAACGACGAGCGTCGATACGTGCTTCATGGTGAACTGCTGAGGACGGAGTGCCGACTGCGGCCACGGACCGTACGTTAGCAGTAATGTGTGAAAGATGGCCAACTGTTGTTTAAACCACCGGACAGTCTTGTTTTTCTCTACAGTTTACCGTAACCTGTCTTGTGTGTACCTTAACGGACTAGTGGCTTGTCTTAGCAATGAATTGTCTTTTTCTTTTTAAATGTCTTTTAAAAATAATACAACATTTGTGACATTCACACGAATAGAGTTAAAAAACACTAAGTTCACCGAATGACAGATGGTATGGTTGCTTTTATGGAATTGTATGTTATGTTGTATTCTCATTTCTAATTGGGCGGTCCTGCTCAGTGCGCAAAGTTTTCTCAAAGACTTGGTTACCCTAAGCATGGGAGTGGCAGGTTGGCCGAGTGCGTGCTTGGCACCGAATCATCGAAGGCGTCGAAGTCAACTTTAATCGAGTCCATCAGGAATTGTAATTGAGTAATGTTGAAATTAAAGGCATAATTGTTCGCATAGTTACTGATACGTCTAGCATTTACTTATCTGTTAAGTAATGAACTGACACAAGAAAATAAAAATAGGATTATAAATAGGTAACTCAACGAAATTCTGGTAAAAAATTATTGCTTTTGATTAAGGATCGATTATAGCAGTTGCTTAAAAATAGATGAAGAAATGTTTCGTTTCAATTCGTCAAGTTTTCTTTAAGGAATACACAAGACCACCATAATACCACAACAGTGTGTGCATTTTTTTTTATTATTTGTTAAGCTAGCGCTTGACCACGATCCCTGAAGATCACCTGACCAGATCACCTGAAGGAGGTGACGATGCAGTCGAAAGATGGTACGAGCTAGCTTAGGTAGCTGTTCACTCTCCTTTTGAGGGCCCCCACGTCAATGCATTTCTCGTTATTGTTAGAATTATATGTATTCTGTTATGGTTCTAAAGGACAGTTATTTTAATTACGTTTACTCATCGGGTATGTATCCGAGTACTCAAGGTCGGCAGCATTGTTGGTCCCAAACCTAAACATTACTGATTAAACCTTGTGTTACTTCATAGACGATACTAAGTGACGAATTGATAAATTCTATACATTACTATTCAAGTTCTATAGACCAAGATACCTTCAACATTATCCACATACCTATGGCCAAAACAAAATGCAGTTAAAAACAGTATTCGTAATGGTAATAAAAAAGGATCATTTGTCGATGGCATTTCACCCTTTTGGCAACAGATTGTGGGCTCTATCGCCGTAAAATATTTATGTATTGCATGGAAAAATGTGAAATAGGAATAAAACGACTTCGAATAAGTAGTACATATTAGTGATAGCTGCTCACCCTTAGACGTAGATTATCGGCTGGTGGCGCCATGCATTTAATATGATTACAATTATAGAGTTAACACGTTGAATGCCACTAGGATTTTTTGATCCCAAATGTAGATGGCACTGAAAGTGTTAACTGCTTTGTGGGAAGATAAACGAGAGTGTAGTATTACCAGTATAATACGGATAATAACAGCCGGGGAATATAGATAACAAGAGTGGATAAAGGACAATGGCGATTGTACGTGTGTATAAAATCTGCAATTGTGAAAACTTCAATACCAGAAGTGATCTTAGATAATAGAAGCAATATCAATAAGCTCCCACGAACGTGTATACCATTATAGAGGGAAAATGAGCATAGAACGGTGTATGAAAATCTCTAACGACCATCTAGGCTTAGTCTAGAATAAAGCAGCGACCATTAACACCGACAAACTTAATTTTTACAACAGTTTTTTTATTCAATTATAAGACGTATCTTTATGAACCTACTAGTTTTCACACGCGACTCCGTCCGCATAGAATAAAAAAAAATGTAAGTAAGTAGCCTATGTGCTCCAGACTATCCTCTACATCTTCAAATATCATCGAGATCTCTTCAGCAGTTTAGGCTACAAACACTAACCAACATCCATCCATCTAAACTTTCGCATTTATAATACTTAAAAGAAGTAAGATTTTATTTACTTGTTTAATTCTTTGTAACAAATTGTAGTATTGGCAAAAAGGATAAACTCCACTCTTCATTGAAATATGTGTTTTAATGTTTAGTCTAGTCTATGTAGAGTGTAGTCTGTGCGAATACGACAACATGCATATGAGGTCCTTACTCAGTCAACTAATCATAATTGAGGACTGATTAACGTTGATTTTAAATTGAGAAAGTAATTGCTTTAATAGCTTAGGTTATAGATAGTATATTTATACTCTCTCCGTCTTTAGGAAGGTTTCCTACGATTTGTTTGGCTGGCTGAAAAATAACCGAATTTATATATGAGTCTGCTCATGTTACAAAGAAATGCGACTAATATAAGACACGTTTTCCACTATAAATTAAGCAAGGATATATCAAATATCCTAGACAAGACGGTATGGTAAATTCCACTATATTTCCCACCGCTAACAATTAAATATTAAGAGAATGGTGACGAATGTTTGACTAAATATTTGTTCGTCCACAGGTTCTAGTACTTTGGTATGTACGGAAAAATGTAGTCATGTTTACAGAGAAACTGTTTATTTATAAGACGCTCGGCTTAAATTTGATCTCTGAAAAATTTCAAGAATACTTTATGAATATGTTACGTTGTAAACAAATTAAATTGTTGATATTGCAGAAATGGTTCTTACTAGTGTAATAAAGTACATTTAAAATAATAAAAAAAATCATTGAATAATCACATTAGATGCTTTTATTGATTTCAAATATAACGTTAGATAATACTTTATTAATCTTAAAAAATATGAAATGAAACAAAATCAAAGAGATAAAAATTGCGCCAATATAATTATAACATGAACAAAATGCGAAATACTTTTGTGGATTGAACACGATTTGTTCCTTTCTATATATTTATAAAAAGATGAAACTCTTGTAAAAAATGATCCTACTCGCACTCGATGACCGCTGACGATTCCCACCAACACGCCGGCGCCTTTTTCGTTGGGATCACCGGTCCCCTTGCAAACTAATGGACCACCAGAATCACCCTACAAATTACAATCTATATTATATTAGGCATTTGATTTGGCATCTCAAGACCAAATGTACTCTTCTACTTGACGTGCCAACTCAAGCTTGGCCTTCGCTTATATGTTTATCGCAGTATATTTGTTGAACATCCATTCCCTTTAGCTTTAGTTCTTTTGCCCTTCGTGACAATACTCACTATAGTATCATAATAAATACAAAAATACTTGCCTTTCCAACGTCCGTAACCACACTAGAAGTACAGACAAAATGGCGCATATTTCTAAAATGTTTACGGTTACATATACTTCTAGGTACAATTTCCAGATGTGCTAAAAGTAACTTATCTGACCTTGCCTGCAACAATAATACACGCAATTACACTACATGTATGTCGTCTCTCTAAGAGTGCGCCAACACCTTTGACCAAACTATCGCACAACTGTTTACTCACCCTTTGACTTCTACGAGCTTATGTGGAGGTGCGAACACTACTGGATTTTAGCTGTACAACTCAACAGTTGAATTTGCTGCAAAATAATCCACAATCGCACAACAATTGTGCGATATTTTAATTAAAGATGCGTCCGATCTCTCTTTGAAAAAACAGGGACAACATGAGAAATTTTTCTGTAAGACTATATAACTGTAAAACAATAGAGCAACAGTGAATTGTTTGGGTACTCACGGTGCCAGTCGATACAGTTTGACCGTAGCCAGAGACCAGACACTTCCCTTTGTAGTCGGCGTACTGCTTTGCGTAGGGAATGGGGCCCACGTTGCTATTATATTTGAAATCTTGCAAAAGGAACTATTAGAGAAATATAGAAAGGTAAGTCCTTTTTAGACAATTCAAACTTATTGTCTGTAGTTATTATTCAAAATAGCATTATTTCAAGCTGCAGCTAACTAATTCGTGTAAATTGTTATATGTTATGTATGAATATCTGTGTTATATATATGTATGTATATAATAAATATTTATAAACGTCCTAATAAACAAGATTACTTAGAAATGCGGAGTGTTAGGTAGAATTTACAAGCAATATAAGAAATTCAACTTTGTGTTAATGAGAATACAAAGCGTTTATGCGGAATAATAAGTGCGGACACTTTTCCGCTATTGCTGATTTCCAGCATTCTAATGATCTACAAAAAATCAATGAAACGTAATTTAGTGTTACGTATTGAACGCGTTTCGTTCTGATTAACTAAGTAATTACAACGCTTAAGCACAAAAAAGTTTTCTGGCGGTCTGTTACAAAAGTATTCACTGATTTATTAATATTTTCATGTAATATGTTGTTCTTTTACAGATAGATATAAACAAAGTAACAAAGTACGGATTTACGGATAGTAATATGTAATGCAACTGCATACCACAATAGCAATATCGTCTTTTGGGAAATGGTAAGTTTTTGGATAAACTGCCTCTTTCAATTCTCTCCATTGGCCCTCATTCGTATTATCGGTTTTCGGTTTCTGACCCCTATTCTTAAGAGTACCGGCCACTGCGTACTTGTTAGACAATTTTTGTCGATCTATATGCCTTTAAAATAAATGTTATTCTCTTTCAATCTTTTACGGGTAAATCAATTATTTTTATTTTAAAGTATATTAGTAACTAGAGCCTAATGAAGCAATTAGGTGCTCAACTACTTGTTTCTTTTAAATATTTTTTAATTAGTTGGTACTTTTGTGATCAAGGGCAGCATTGAACAAGTTATTAAAACGAAATTATAATTGTATGTTGCTGCATTAAATTGATTCTTACGAAAGAATGTTGGAAAAGGCACAACCTTTACTATTTTCAATTAATCAAGTGTAAATTGTTAATGTATAAGATAATAAAAATACGAACCCAATTCTAACGAAGATTTTAACACACATGCTCATGTCTGGTACGAAGCAATGGGCAGCTGAGAGGACTTTGTTAGGAGCGACTATTGTCCCGCCACAGAACGTCATGTAAACCTGTCTTGTTCGAGAGGCGAGCCCTTTGAACCCAACCTTACATCAGAATAATTTTAATTACTCCACAGAAATCATCATTAAAATCATCATCAGCCTTTATCTCTCCGCTATTTACATATACCAATAGGAAAGTTGTGGTTTTAAAAACAAGATTAAAGAAAATTTTCCTTAAATTTTTGTCTTTTATAAATGTATGGCAACGTTTATTTCTATAAACGGTAAAAGTTATGACTTAAGTTTGCTGGGGACCTCGGGAAGGATTTGCAGTTTAGCGTACCTGATACGAGACATCGCCGAGCTTGGCCGCCCAGCCGTTCACAACCCGAGGATAGTAATCTTCATAGATTACGTTTGAGCTATTTGTTTCTGATAGACATTTTCCAAGAATGGTAAAGAAGAAGAGAAATGCAAATTGATTTGCAAACATTAACACATTAAAATTTATTTAATTGTAAATTTAAATTGACGTTGTCAATACTTGGCCAGAGATATTGACAACTTAGCAATAATTACGCTGTGCTATATTCTAGATAAATACATTTGTGGATGACTAAAACAAATATTATTATATTTAATAACGAAATAGATTGCCTTGAGTTATTGTCTAAGCTATGTTTAAACGTCCCTTGTAAATCAATTCGTTCCATACCACATCTCCATCATCCATGCCCCAGGCATCATCAAATTATAGGCAAAATAGTTATATTGTGCGTGCAAGCGCAAGCTTCAATAAAATCTGTAGGCAGCACGATCTCGATCCATTCACGACGAGCGTGACTACGGCAAGAAGATGCTTAGCACTTGACTTTTTTATTTAAAACATGAACTGTTACTAACATAATTAATATGTTGTGGCTTTTGTATATTGTTATATTGTACCTAATTTATATTTTAAATAACTCTTTGGTAGTTGGCAGAAGTACCTGCTGTTTGTTTCTGCTATAATATTGCTACAAGCGAAAACTTTTTATTGGCTCTCAGTCATCTAGTTTATAGTTACTTAGATAAGGTTAGGCTGTAAGTTTTCCATATATTAAATAAATAAATAAATAAATAGATAAATATTATTAAGTAAATACCGATGCTTGAACTTGGCTGCCTTCAGCGGTTCAAGAGTTTTTCTACCGTATTTAATTAACACAGTAGTTTCGAATAGCGATGAGTTGTTTAGGTCATCATAGTTGTAGTTGCTGTAGGAAACCTTATCATATGGATTTACTGCACATTAATCCACTGGAATGAATGGAATCCGAATGGATTGTATCCATTATAATCCATTTGTAGGACATCAAACTGTAGCAACCAATCGCTAGGCGGATTAAACTGTACGAGAGGAAATAAAGCCATTTACGGATTTACTTATAGGATTAAACAGGAACAGATTAAAGCAAAGATTATTCATGTAGGAAAAAAAACGTTTAATGATATATGTCGGAGAAAGTAATTGGATTTGTTTGGATTTATTTGGATATTACATTAAGTTTTTAAGGCATTCATAAATCTTATTTTTTCATCTTTGAAGTATCATAGCAACATTATTCCCATCTAGCACGTCAATAAAGAAATTAGTAAAATGTCATTTGTGTCGTATTTATCACTTTTTAGATTTGTTTCAGGTCAAAACTTTAAATAAATTTAAAAATGAATACTGCAGATATGATTTTGTGATAATAAACTTCGACGATGTATTGTTAAAATTAATAGTTTGGCTTTCATAATGTATAAATGAGGGGAATAAGGTGGAAACGCACCTTAACTGTTATTATTGTATTATTGATGTTTTTTGAACAATATTTGTGTAAATTGGAGCCTTTTGTTGAAGTTGTCACTACTAACGGTACATTCAACTTTATTGTAAGTACCCTATACTTATAAAACACGGAACACGAAAATAAAATCAAATGACAGTAAACAAGTACTTATCTATGTAACTTATCGTAACAAACTATATTGTGGAAAAATAAAGACAGTACTGGCTTTAGAATATGGCGTGATTGGGGCGCCTAACAGAAATAGGCGCCATAGGTCTACTAAGTACTCTTAAATTAATATAAAAATAACCTCCCTGCAGTTCAAATATTGCCCAGGGCGCTAGTATAGCTAGGTTTAGTACATTAATGTCTGTGTCCATCATTTCCATCAGCCGTCCTTGTTTTCTCTCATTCCTTCTCTCTCACTCTCTCTTCCATTTAAGTGTGAAAATACGAAAACAAGTGCAATAATGCAAGCCGTGATAACTTTATCGATAATTGATGTAAAGACATGTTTTATTACATGTTTTAACAATACTGTTCTTTTCGTGAATCAAATATTTTCTTAAATTTTGATCAACTCTTTTTAAGGATATATTAAATGAAAACAAGAAATACCAGGCAATTCAGGACTTTTGCCCTTTGAAAATAGTGGGTGGTAAAGCTGTCGCCAGCGCTTTGGTGCCCTATCAGGTAAATGAAACATTTTCATTAACTTATTTTGTTACTTTGTATCTACTTACATTTGTTTAAAGAAAAATTGTACGTTAAAGTACTTCAAATCATAGAAAAACGATTTGAAGCCAATTATTTTTCAGGTTTATTGCATTACACATTCCTACGCGTAACAATACAATGGTCTCTAAATCAACTAATTTATAATTCAAAACGACAAAAACTTCTACACCGAATGTGTACGAATCGTGACCGATTACGTAGCTGAGAAAGGGTTTTTATAAAGTCCTGGCTATCAGGCCTTTAAATCTAATGGCTATAGAACGAAAATAATATTTTTAAGTTTACATCTACATAAAGATGATTTCCTGACAATATCCAGATGCTGGCATGTTGAAAATCATCCATCTCAAGGAAATAATTTTAAGATTCAATCTTTGTAATAACTACAAATACTTAGTGCTAATCCCTAAATGTTGTGCTTATTAGCTTTTCGACGATAATAAATAATGTGAAATGAATCTATTGTTTGTTGATAAGTCACTTTTCTTCGTTGCATTTGCACCTTAAACACAGTTTTTCTTGTTAAAGAGCCAAGGTGATATTGATACTGTAACTGAGTTTACAATAATCTTATCTTACCTTATATTTCAGGTGGCGTTAAGAAAACCTCATTACATTGGAATGTATTGGGATTCGTTCTGTGGAGGGTCACTCGTCACTTATAAATATGTCCTCACTGCAGCCCACTGTATTGTCTCCGATAAGTAAGTTTACAATAACAACTATGACAATGATAACTCGAGTTTTTACTAAAGAAATTATAAAGCAAAAATATATACATCCCACTTATTACCTTTGTAAATATGGAGAATAATGGAGATCCTAATAGTGTTTTTGACGCTTTGGCTGCGGAAATTCACGGTTATTGTTACCCTTATTATTGTACTTTATCGTGATTTTATGATACATATTGTTTTCCACACTATCAATCAACACTAATTATTAAAAACTTGTCTGAAACTGAAGTATTGATACTATTATTTCGTGATCATGAGTTAGGTAGAGAAAGCCCCCCTTTTAGTTCTTTTCTTCTATTTTTGATGTAAATTTAACACTACTAATAATGACTACGAGTAGTGCAGTTCCCTAGCTGTTTGTTTGTACGCTGCTTCTCATAAAAAAATAATTGTGTACAGATTAAAATTAATAGCGAGTGACATCCGAGTGGTCGCGGGCACTGAGGTGACAGGGTCAATGTTCCTCGCCATGTATTTCGAGAATTGGCGCCGAGTTGAGCATTACTACATTCATATGCACTACCATACTACATTCTGGGAAAATGATATTGCACTACTTAACGTAAGTAAACGAGCTTCGTTTTTACAAAGCGTATGACCTTAGTTGTCGGATATCTACTTAACCTCATATCAAATGGATGATAGCACACTGTATATTCAAGGTTTTCTCCACTTAAAGCATTATTTTATGAATTAAAAACCAAACAAAACACTCTACTTCTTATATATAAATGTGATAGTTTCGATGGATGGATGTCATTTGTGTAACCTAAATTGCAGAACGGATCTCGATGAGATTTGACACAGGTATAGAACATAGTCTGGAAGAACACAGTCTATTTAATATTTTTTAAACTCGGCGCGGAAGGTGTCACGGGCAAAAGCTAATTGTTAATAATGTTACCGGGTGACATTTTTTAACACCTTTTAGCACCTCGTTTGCTAATATCAATGCATTATGGTTCAATACAAGATATATCGTCTACTAGTCTTGATGTTTGACTACAAGAGCAGGTGGTCTTTAGTAATAGAAACATTCAGGATAGTTTTAAAACAGAACAAGAAATGTTGTATTAACTCTATTATAGGCGTTAGGGAAATATTCAACATCTTACGTGAAGTGGTTTTTTTTATCGTAAAAGGGGATAATAACCTTTAATGTAATTTTAGGTACACATAATCATAATACAACGGTATTATTGTAAAAACAAAGGGACTTACAACGAAAAAAAAATTAAGTAATTTCAAATTAACGATAGCGTTAATATGTGATTACTGCGGGTTTTCAAGTGATTTTTTTTTCTATTTTCAGTTGGAAAAGCCATTTATTAAATCAATAGCAGTGAGACCTATCCGCCTACACACATCAGATTTAAAAGTGAACGTCGACGTTGGTTCCAAATGTATGATCTCTGGTTTCGGCACCAAAGAGAATGTAAGTATATTTCTTATTAGAACTTAAAGGTAATATTTTATGGAGTCTAATGACGTAGACGCCCTAGTCTCACAGATTCGGATATAAATTGTCTGACATGTTTAAAATGATACAAAACTTATACTGTATGACTTTTTTAGAATGAACCGTCAGCAGAGTTGAGAATGGTGTGCGTACCAATTCTGCCGACTACGAAATGTGAAGAGGTATACGGTATGGCGTACCAACGTGCTATTTACTGGTGCGTTGGCGCTAAAGGCAAGGACAGTTGTCAAGTAAGTTATTGTACCAACACTGAGCACCATTATTACCGCATATGGAATTAAGAAATCAGTAAGAGTAAAGACCATACGAAGAAAGAAAAAATATTTTATATAATATGTCCAAGAGATTTAATAACAAAAATTGTTTTGATAAATGGGGATTGGAGCCCAGTAAATATTTATTTTACCAAAGCTACAATTAATGTTAAATAAATGATAAATTACTGTTTATAATTTTTGTCCGGGTCACACGTTATCCCAGCGCTTCTGTTCTTTAAGTCCGGTATACTCGCGATCATTTTCTTCAATTCGGCTGTAGTGGACACAGTTTTCACCAACAAATTAGCGTCATTGGGTTCTTCTGTTGTATATACATTCTGCGGATGTTTTTCGTACACAACGTAATAATTATCATTGATAAGACGATAAACAGCGTGCCTTTTGATTTCATCACCACATTTACATTTCAATTCCAACGCTGGTGCAACTTCGTTAAAATTTTCAACTACTAAAGTCGGCATTGTTACTGAACGTGCTGGCGTATCCGTTGCTCCTTTTCCTGCTGTTACCAAATCTGCTGTTTGATTTCCACAAGTACATGCGTTCGCTTTTTGCACGGTTATGGTATATCTGTCACATATAGGGTAGGTTACGACGTTCGGAAATGTGACTATCGGTAGCCATTCTCCAGTAAATTTCTCTATTGAAGTCAGTTCCGCGTTGCAGAATGAAAACAATAATAATATTATCCACATGTTTATTCTTTGGATGACAACTTGTAACTGCATTTAAATGTGCGGTTTCATTTATAAATACCTTCTAGGCACAATAATAACTACAGAGTAGTTTAGATAAGACTTGTTTATAGAAATGATGGTCGTTTACTTTATTGTTGTTTAACAATGAATTAGTTATTGACATGTAATTAAATTGTATTTATGGGTCCAATTGTTATTTTTAACTAGCTGTCGCTTGCGACTTCGTCCGTGTGACATTAAAAAAAATTAAAAATGTAACCTATGTTACTCACTGAAAACGTACCTTTTTAATGGTGAAAGATTTTTTAAATCAGTCCAGTAGTTTTTGAGTTATTCCAATACATACAAAATTAGATTATCGTTCCTCTATCAGTATAGATTATTATTATATAATAGGTATAGTTGTAAGAAGTATTTTCTATATATGCCTTGATAAAAATATATGAGATGTTTTTTTTTTAAATAACACTGTTTACTATTTTAAGGTTATTATTACTTTAAAGCCCTGCGGTTAAAAGTAGTTTAGATTCTTATTTATTTATTAAAAACATTTTCCAGGGCGATTCTGGAGGTCCTCTCGTGTGCTACGGGGTTCAAGTTGGCATCGTGTCGTGGGGCAGCGACTGTGGCATGTACCCTGGAGTTTATACACGGATTTTACCGTTGACCACACAGCAATATGTGCCGTTCATACAAAAAAATGCCATTTGTATACGTCGAAATGTTGTAGTTGTTCTTGTTTGTTTTTTAATATCAATGTATTTTGTTTTTCAATAAAGATCACATACATTTATTGTAGTTTTATTTTTATTGCGAACAGTGCCATCTGTTGGCGATTTGAAATACTTTTACTAGTACATGCTTCAAGTTATTATTTAGTTAGTAAGTTTATTTTAGTAGTAGTGTAGTAGATGACGCTAGTTATTTTTATTTCGTATTGCTTAATGTATTGACTAAAATAAAATAAATTGCCATTTACAAGAAAGCTTATTAAACATGTAAGAAATTCTTACTGAAACACTAATTTAAAAGTCAAAAACTTCTTCCTTGTTTCACTAGAACTTATAATGCAATAAATTAAAATTATACAAACTTAAATCCTATCAGTCTTACAAATAAATGCGGTATAAATTTAAATCTAGGAATAAACTGAGTATAACTAAATATTATTACAAATTTTGCTTACACTCAGTTTATTCCTAAGTTTAACTTTATACCGCGTTTATTTGTAAGGATGCTTGAGTAAGAAAATTATTTATTAAACTATAATTTAAGTATACTAAGCTTCGTCTTGCAAGAAACTTATTTCCGCGTTGATGTAATCTTGGAATTAGTTATAAGTCGATCTCAGACGTCTGCTTGCATTATATATCAAGAGTTTCATTACCGCCTCGCTGGCTCTGCCGGGCCCCGACGGCGCGGACGTGAAGGTAGCGCCCGGAACTCGCTCCATAAATTATAACTTCCGCTAGTTCAGAGATGGATGCCTCGAGTGTATCACACTATACGAAATTGGGAAACTATTCTATTAGATCCAAGTTGAGAATTAAATAAATAAAAGTGACAACATCCAGTTAAGGAATGAGTTCTGATCATTGATTAACCTGCAAAAATGAAAATAAATACATAAAATCTTAAATCTGCTTGAGCTTAGTTGTTTTTTATTTTTATTACACAGGTTTCTATACAGATTGTGCTTTCACATTACGATGATGTTTGTTCTGATAGTAAAGAAGAGAAAGGCATTCTTTATTTAAGATTAAGTAAATACATAAGTAACACAGTCACAAAATTTGTATTAACAGACGTATATAATACTTTTTAAATTAGTTTTAAAGTGACAAAATTGTGATTTTTACACAAGTAAAAAACACATTTTCATATAGTATTAATTTTCCCATCGTGTGAATAGTTCGTAAAGTGTTCGCTACGTATTGTCTTGAGATTCGTATTTAATTAGCGATACCACAGACAGATGGCGCTGCCCAGATATTAATAAAGCATATAAACTTGATGTGGTTTATCTTGAATTTTAAACTAATCAAGAGTTATGGTAAATATCAAAAGTGATTTTCTTGTAACATTTACAAAGGAGAATATTGATGTAGTTACAATCTGATAGTAAACTTTAAATATTTTGGTTATTCTGTTGTCTTTGAAAACTTTGCTATAAAGTCATATCGTTGATAAAACTCTTAACTGTAAATAAACAATTGATGTAAATAATTCTACGCATAAATGTTCGTCGATTACATAGAATACTTCTTTTCTTGTCTTTGACGTATTCATATGATATCACTGAATTTTGCAACAAAAAGATGTCTAGTCTATTTATCTTCGTCAGTAACAAGCAGTTCTATTTTCCAAAGTCTAGCTAAAACTATCCCTCGAAGACGATACTAATCTGCTAACTCTACTAGTCCAACTAATTAGGTCCATGTCAAACTGAACTACTAATTAAGTGGCACAAGACTAAGTTCGCCAAGTTGATTCCAAGTTGTATTGTCTTAGACCGACTCCTGTTAACCGCAGTGCTAAGTTGCATTACGTTACTTAGATACACTGACTTCTATTTTACAACAGCTAATATCAGTTGAATATTTTTTTTAGCTACACTTATGGACTTTTTAAGTATTATAATAGTTGTAGCCGCGGCTCTGCTCTGGATTAAATAAAACGTAAATGGGAGCTTATATGTTATTTCAAGACGGTGTTCTTCATCCATACGATATTTAATCTATGTAGTTCCATGCAATTTTGAATACATAAATATACTTGCATTACATTCGAAGTAAAGGCATAATGTTTAATGGTCAATTCTTAGTTCGTTTTTTATTTGATTTATCGAATGTACACACATTATGTTCATGAGTGGAGTACATTTCGTGGAGTGCGTCCGCGCTGCTAACGAAGTATTGTATGCCATCTGTTCCCTCGCTACTCTAGTGGCTTTTTGTGTTCTTTGACTTTGATGGTTTGCTACCATACGCGCTCAATAATGCCTATCCATTTTGTGCGTACATTTTTACGTGTTATTTTTAATAGGACACCAAACAATAGTATTGAAGAGTCGTTTATTTTACATCTGTAGATAAATGTGCAAAACCTAATGTTGTCTAAAAACAATAATTAGGAGATTCTAAAATCATCTGAATAACACAATTTTACGCAAATCTGAAAAGAACATTCTAATTCGTGCTGTTTCTAACGCAAAAAGACTAAGTAACCAGTTAAAATCAGTTCAAGAGTAACCATAACTGACCATTGGCAGGGGCGAGTCGCTAATGGCATAACAAAAAGCTATTTAAGTGTGGGCCCAGCCGAGCCATTACTGCATCAGGGTCCGCGCCACGGCGCTTATTAAAAATGTGGCCTGAATATCAAATTGCTATCTCTCCATTGTGTTGCACCCTAAAGAGCACAGATACACCAGCTAACCCTCGGATTTTAGAGTAAAATGCACAGAGCAATGCACACACAGAGACTAGTGAAAATAAAAATATACACGGTTTTCTATTTTCAAACTTTTATAGTTGTGAGTGGCGCCAAGCGGCTATTCTTATATTAAGCAGTTACCAGTATTGCAAATAGGTTAAAGAGAAGATGTTACCATTGTACCAAATAAATAATAATAAGTTAACGTTAATCGAACCAAGCTAATAAGATGTATATGCAATAATGGCGATATGAACCGCAGTAAGTAAAAAGTGCATTTCTCTGTTTATTTCTACTCTATGCACAAAAGACTACGGGACAAGCAAAACTGTTATTCAGGGGCACAAGCCCATCCCTAACAGCGCTATTGTTTGTTTTTTATATAAATAAATTCAGTTGTCACATCTCCCATGATAAATGGTACTTCTGACACGTCGGTCATATGGCGAATTTTGAGCCACTTGTCGGCTCAAGGTTTGTTATATCTAAGTTTTTGAGGGTCGCGTTTTGATATATGGAAATGTTGTTTTAGTGAAGGGAAATTATTGCCATTGTTATCGGTTAAGTGGAGAATGTCATGCAAACAAACAAATGACGGAGTACCAGTAAATGAGTAAAAAGTATTATTATATGAGTAAAAGAAATAATTGGTCTCAATATCTTTTGAAGAAAACGGATTTGCTGCCATTGTGTTGAAGTTTAAATCGCAACCCAAACATTGTACTAATTTTCACTGGTTAATATCACGGAACATCGCAACATTAACATTTTTAAAGTTTAATTTTTTCATCTCGTGTCGGAGTTCTCGCTGTCAAAACACATTAGTCTTCTAAATTGCAAAACTAACCGAGAGAGCCGTTTTTAAGGCGAATTTTGGCGAATATAAATAAATAATGAACGCTCAAATCCATTTGCCAGGACTTCCAAATTTTTTTCGGATCCATTACAGCGGTGCGAGGCCAATTTGAAAATATTGAATAATATAAAAGCTCCCGAAATATGAATGTGAAGATGATGTTCCGCAGAAGCGACAGAACATGCAACTTCTAATAATCGTTTTTTACTTAACCCCTATCTGTTTTTAATAACTTTAATAAGTAATATTTATTGTGTGCTACGATTTGCATCTACAAATTCTTGATTTAGTTTTCCATTTTAGCTACTGCCTTCTTACCAATAATGACAATTTTAAAATTCGAATCCCTATATGCCCCTTTTCTCTGACCTATTACTTTTGATTAAATGTTCCAAAAGTAACTAAATGTCTTTGAATAATTAGAAATCAAATACATTACAGAACATACACGACTTGTACGCTAGGCATAATTTCACGTTTAAGTCAAAATGTTTCATACCTAAGGCGTATTGAAATTATTTAATCTATGACCGCGCGTTACTGGTAAACGCATTATGACGAGTTCCCGTCGCATCTCACATCGGTGAAGTAGAGAAATGAATGCACATATCCTGCGAAATACGTCAGAAAATTTTATAGCTAACAACGTTAAACTAATGAGAATTGCTTGAAGCAAAAACTCGACTAGGTATTCATTTCAAAAGGTATTTATATTTCAGCATTGGGCAAAAAAGGCTGATAATGTTTACGGGTGAACGACTTTGCTTCAATTTATTGTGATAGTTTTGTGATGACTTAAACTATTTTAAACGGCTCTGTTATTTTAATTTATTTGGAATTCGGATGTGTCACGAATGCGTTGTGCGGAATAGTTTATGCCGATTGAAAATTCGCTTTGGTAATCTTCTCTGTGAACTAAACGTATTAGTTACCCAAGGTACTGTGTTATTACTACGTGTTTGATGAAAGAACTCGGAAATATTGTGTCATGTCATTTGTACAGACTCCAGTAACTTCTATAAGTATCCACATGACTAGTTTCCATTGCTAAAACCCCTCTATTAAAATGTTGTTATTTTTTCTAATGGTTGTTACGGAGAATAATATATTTCTGAACAGTTGTTCGGCAGTGAACATTCGCTCTAAGAATCTTACTAAATAATTCTTATTTCTCAATTTAAATATTTCTTATGCGTAGCTAAGACGCCTCATTGGAATGCAATAATCCATTTCCTTGCGGACCTTAAACAGAACAATGGGATCTAGATCCAGGCATCACAATTAGGTTACTATTGTGTTAAGTCAGGTAGCCTGTTAGGTCAAAATCCTTAGGGAAATAATTTGCATTTGAAAGTATCTACAATTATAATTAAATCATAATTAATATTGTTTAAAGCTGGAGTGTTAATTATTTATCTAAATGCATTAAAACATAAAAAAGTATTTGTCGACGCAAAATTATACAAATATAAACGGAGACAAATCATTTTTTTTTAATATAAAGTTTCTACTTACTACTTTTATAGCAGTTGTTATACGTTTCTTTGGGAAATCATGAATGTGAGTAACAAGATATTAGAAAATGCAGTTTACTTTCGTCATACATCGACTTGGAACGAAAAACATACATTAGGAAAGTTGAAAAAAATTTACACAGTATTAGAAAAAAAGATCATTGCGTTTTTACTGAACCGAATCGGAATAGTATCGTACCCCATTAAAGCAGCAATATACAGTAACTTATCCTATCCTAGCCGTTAGAAACGGACTCCTAGCGTTTCCCTTCCTACTTCATTTTAATTCGAAACCTTAAGTCAGCTTTAAATTACACTTTTTGCTGCCCTTATAACACCCTCGACGACTGTCTCGGATTAAGGGCTACCAACGGGTACTTTTTCCAGTGCCAAGAAACATCGTAGTACCTTTAGATGCCCCCCGGGGGGTACTTTCAGACCCTTAACGTTTACGACTACACGATTGCTTTTCTATGAAGGGACTAAGAAATGTTCGCGACAAAAACAGACATATGGTGCGACGGAAGTTGATAAGAAATTGATTAGTCGAGTGAGTGTGAACATCGCGTCTAGTGGCCACTCGAGTGGTTAGTGTTACGACTTTTGACACCCTTATTTGTCGATTTTATTGCTTCCGATTTTTTTGCATATCGTTGCTTAACGATATCATAACACGTGGCTTATAAGGAACTACTATAAAATGCCTTCTTTAATTAACTTGTAATATTTGTTTCTATTGATAATTTCTGTGATCTCTTCATAAGTCCTCATAAGATGTTACGACTACAAGATACAGTATAAAATTAATAAAAATCAAATATTTTCTTTATCCATTAGTAACAAAAAATAAAACAAAAAAATGTACAGTAATTGACAAACAAGGATGTAATTATATATGCGTATACACAATACCTATCTAATAGTTTAGATACTTCCTTTTTATGTTTCAAATTCATATAAATATAGGTATTGTGTATGCGCATGTATTATTACATCCTTGTTTGTCAATTACTGTACATTTTTTGGGGTTTTTTTTTTATAAACAATTCAACTCAAAAATGACAAAACAAAAAATAAAACTAACAGTTTTTGTCAATGTCGGTACTATTAATCTGACACTTTTGTGACAAAGTTTTTGTCTAATTTCGGTGGCTTTGTTATTTAAAAGAGTAGCCTAAAGACGTATTTATGTTGCCCATTGAATGTGCCAGTCAAAATGTTTGTTGATTTGTCGGAACCGCATGTGGTAAATGTTATGGTCAACTGATTTTAAGTAACCTGCTATTTTTTATATTTCAAACTACTGTTTGCCGATAACAACAAAACTGTTACTAAATATTGAGTTAAGAAAATTAAGTTGTTAGTACGTATGTAGATTCTGTATTGTATTAAACCTTATGGTTGTTTTTTATATAACCGGTTTATGATGATAGTTTAGTTGGCTTACATTTTGCAGATTATTTTTTCTTACCTCGTATGTAGCTACTACGTGATCTTAGTGCTATACACTTTATTGATCATCTCAAGTTGTAGCAAAAAACAATATATCACATGGATCAATTCTCTAGGCACTTCTGAGAGGCGTGGCTTACAGTGGGCGTGGTGAGAGGGCGGTCCCTCTGTGACCTCCCTGAGCACTTTGCGTCCGCCAAGGCCTTGAAAACTTGTTTGTTGTTGTTCAAATAACTTTGATATTAGTCATTTTATACGTCAACGTTGCTGTATGAGAGCTTTTTATTAAGTAGGCAAACAGTTTTCTCATTTTAGTATTAATGTTCAGAAAGAGTATGCTAAGAGTAATTACTTTTCTTAGTGTTCTTTAGTTAAAGTATATTACTACGTCTTAAAGCTGAGATACACATAGCAAAAAAAGGACGTATACCTGCATGCTAGTCAGAAGCGTGTCAACAATTTGCCAATATACACACTACAGTAAAATGTTTACGAGATGGTACACGACATGGTGTGTCAGTGTCAAGCTTCGTAAGGAGCGTAAGAGCCCCCTCTTGCCCTCCCTCGATTTACATACCTGTAGCTGTCATAAAATCAAATTTCGTGCTAGTTACTCGCATACCCAAAAGCTTTTACACATGTGTGTAACTTGCGAGTGCAAGTATATCAGGTACTGGCATGTATACACCTGTCCTTAAGCCGTGTAAAAAAGATGTTTTAAGTTATTTCTAGTACGTGTGGTACATAATGTTTTTAACGATACGTTTTGATACAAGTTGATGTCACGCTAAAACTTGTAAAGGATCTGCTTGTTTTTTTTAAAGTTGTGAATCGAAAGTTTTGGTTACTTTTATGACCTTAGGTTGAAAATGATTTAAAATCTAAAATCACAACGTTGAATACGTAATATGTAATTCTAACAAAAACGTTTCATGTAACATTAATTACAAGTACTGGTCTTTACTTTCAAAAATATAAGAGTGTGAAAAACGACAGACAATAAGGAAAAAGATTTTACTAGTTAACGTTCGTTGACTTAAAGACGTGTTTGTCGCATATTTTAGTCACCGTTACTGAAATTTTATTAGTTTGTCAAGTCATTACTGGATATTTATAATAATAGATGTCACAGAATAAGCTGGTTAAAACTTAAAACTTTAACTATCTAGATATTTATTTATAAAATTTTAGTTTGAAATGTCGTATATGTTAAGTTTTCATTTCACTGTTCGAGAATGTCTCATTTATGAGTATGGATGTGAATAACAACGAAAGGGTCTGGTCGTGTCACATGGGATTATTAAAATCGCAATAATCGCAAATTCACAGAATCTCCTCATCCGAATTTAGTTAACTTCATGATAGTATTTATATTAACTGAGTCAATTATGGTGAAATTAAATCTATGTCAAATGTATACCCTTCTACAGTTAACGTTCAGATCGCTACATAGTAATAATTAATGGCACGACAAAACCTCATCTTAGTAGTTAAAGTCAATTCCCACAGAAATTTCATCATCGTCAATCCAACTATGTTTAATAAGTAATTCGTGCGCACAGCGGCGAGCAGAGCGGCGTGGGCCGTCCCCGTGCGGCCGGTGCGGCGCGCCGTGCTGCGTCTCATCTCTCAGCCCGTCCCTTACGCGCGCCCTCGCCGAGCGGT